GAGCCATGAGTTTAATCCCAGAATTTGGTGGGGGGAAGAACAGCCGTGGATCTGAACCACAGGTACTGTGCAGAGTTATACATCTACAAAATATACATATTATACATATGTATTTTGTAGTGTATGACCCTGGGCAAGGCAGTTGGCCTCTTTGTGCTTCACTTTTTTTACTTACAAAGTGGAGACAACAGTAGTACTGCACAGGTCATTATTAGGGTTAAATGACATGAACATTAAATAATATATATTCGGTAACAATGGAAATTGTTTAAAACAGAACTTGGGACATAACACCTGGAAGCTCCTTCTGTCCTGCAGCCACTAATTTATGGGACTTTAGTTCCATGCACCCATCTACTCGCTGGTCACTCCCACATTAGAAGTCCACTAAGCTTGAAAGCAGACCCACTGGACAGCCAGACTGTAGACAGCACACAGCTACACAGCACCTCCGGACTTTCTGCCTGAACTTTTTCCTTGTTCCCACCCTCTAGGCAGGTAACACTAGTGTCTCAGTTTCTTGGTCCTTACCCTTTTGCCCACTGGTTGCTTTCTGCCACTCCCCACTGACTGCTTCTCCTTCCTGACCCCTCACCTGGACTCCCACACCTTATGCATGGCTTAGTGCAGTCACCCCCTAACCTGCCTCCTCATTTTCAGGATCTCCCCATAGTCTGCTCTGTACAGGTCATTGGAACAGCTGCCTAAAATCTCATTTTCATTCCACTCCTCCCCAGTTCCTACTGCTAATAGGACAAAACCCAAGTCCCTGGCGTATGTTCCAGGGCCCACGAAGTCTGGCTCGATGCTGTCTTCAACTTGCCCTGCCATGCTCACATCAGTGCCACTGCTGTTCTGGCTGCGGGTTTCCTCCTCCTTTGGGTCATCACCACTGCCCTTATTTAGCGCTTTTTTGCAGCTTCAGTCTCTTTCCTTACCCAGACCTGCACCTGTCCAATCACTATGCGTCAAGGATGGTTTCAGCCTCCCTTCCCCTAAAGTCTCCCAGATCTTTGCACGGTAAGGTTGTGCTCACTCAGCCTGTGAGCCTCACCATCAGAAGAGATGACCAGCTAATCACAGGCCTTGATTCAGATGCCTCTGATATTTTACACAAGGTTTGGCCCAAGTCTCCACAGGACAGGTACTAAACAATCAACATATGATCTTTTAGTGATGAAATGCCAAGTATATCCTTTTTTTCCCCTGAGAACTGGAATAGTGAAAAATATTATTCCATCCAAGGGATGGGTTTCAAAGGCCTACTGTGGTCTTGAACATCATGCTGCTTGTCAGGGTATAGAGGTGATCTAAAGACGAATGACCCAGGCCTTGATCAGAAGATCTTAAATATGGAGGATTCTTACTCTAGCCTCCCTTGGTGGGCTTTAAGTGGTCTGGAACTCCCTAAAGCTGTCAGCAAAATTTCTTAGATGTGTGCATATGTGCCTCTTTCTGGGGGAGAAGGTTGGTGGCTTTCAGCAGCTACTACAAGGAATTCGGGCTCACCATTCTAAGGTAAGGACAGAGATCTCCATACAACCAACCTGTATCCCACTACATGGCATAATGGAGAAAAGCACTGTACTCTGTTTCTCTGACATGGGGGAAGATGGGGAGTGGATTGGAAGGGAGGGTGCTAGGCTCATTGAATGGAGCAATTCCATGAAGAAGGGAAGCAGAGAAAAAAGAGTGGAGGCTGAGAGCAGGCCTTGCAAAGTCCAGAGGTGGAAGATCATGTCTTTGGGGTGGGATCTGTTACCAGGTGAAACTGAGGCATGGAGTCTGGGGCCACAGGATGAGGCAAGCAAGCTCCAGTGTCTACCTCTTTTTCAGGAAGCTCAAGCAAAACCACACAGCCTCAAGCAAGTTCCTAAGACTGAAAGCCCCGGGAGGAACCAGTCAGTACTCCTTCAAATGGGGCCAGGAAAGGTGAGGAGCCAGTTGCCAGGAAAAGCCCAGGGACACCTCTTCTAGTGGCTAGGGCTACAGTCTAGCAAGGAGGCTTTTAGATGACCTTCAGTAGGAAGGGCACAAAGCTAGCTGGTCCTATAGAGGCACTGGGAATGGGGCTGTCCTCCAGACAGGGCTATGAGGGAGATGGAGGTGGCAGAAGTGGGTAAGGACTGAGTAAGAGGGGGTCTTTCCTTAGGGATTCAAACACCACTCTGAGTCTGCACTGCATGCAGTAGTTCCTAACATTCAACTGACAGATTCCCTAGGTGGATGGGCTCTTGGGAAACGAGAGAGACAGTAATTTGGAGGCCTAGTTCTGAGAGTACTAAGAATACTGAGAGCAACAGTTGGCACTCTGAGGTAGCCTGTGTTTAAGAGAGATCTACCTTCTTCCAATCATCTGGCTCTTTCCTCCCTTAGGGCTCTTTGGTGCTCCTTGGAAAACTTTGTCTACTCCCCGACTCCCTCATATCCCCTGTCTTACTTTCCAACTAATCCTGGTCATCATGTGAAGCTATGCAGTCACCTACTTGAAGTCTTGTTACTTATCTGTGTCTTTACAGAAGAAGCTCATTGAGCACGAGGAAAAGGGAAGCAGAATCTTAGCTTCCTGCAGCTGGCCTATGCCAGCAGGCCCTGAAGCCCTTACTACCATCCCAGGCCTGTGTGTCCACTATCAACAGAGGAGAAACAATGCCACACTGCCCCACCCAGCTTCACGTCAGCTGCTCCCAGGAAAGCCCTTTCCAGCTGCCAGGCTTGCTTCAACCTGAGTCTTGAACTTAATTTATTTTAGTTCCCTGCTTCTCAGAGGAAGGAGAAGAATACAGGAAAAGAGGTACACATGAGCTGGGAGGCCTTGCCAAGCAGATCATCCCTGTATGGCTGTGCTGCCAAGGTACCACCTGCTGTAACAGGCTTGGGTTTGGATTCTGCTGAGTCTGCTGGGCTCTCCAGGGAGCCCCACATGCTTTCTATCTTGCCTTCAATTACAGCCCTCCCACTCTCCTACCTGAAGGCTGCCTTGGTGGGAAAATCCCATCAAGGAGAGAGCCAGAGAAGAGCCTGTTTCTTTTTTTTTTTTTTTTTTTTTTGTCTTTTTCCTTTTTACCAGTACCAGGGATCGAACTCACGGCTGCCTGCTTGCAAGGCAGGCGCTTATGCCGCTGAGCTAAATCCCCAGCCCCAGAAGAGCCTGTTTCTAAAAGGCTCTACTATGTAACCCTTAACATACCAGACTCCTAGCAATTTCCAAGTAATCATCTCTCTATTCAAGATAAAGTGGAAAAAAAATTCCACGCAAACAGTTAATGTTTTCCAAAATGGAAGGAGAAAAGCATTCCAAAGTCACATTTATCTTTTCTGAGTTATAATCAGGGAAGGAGACTCTTGGAAGCAAGAGCTGGCTGGGATGTCAAGTGCCACATGCATGTGGGGTGTGCCTTTAACCCTGCCTGTCATCTGGTTAACGGAGACTTCAAGGGGCACCATGGTCCCCCTTGAGCCCCAAGGAGAAGAGAAAGCAAAGGCCTATGCCTGTACCATATCTGAAGGTCACATTAGGCACTACCTGCTCTCGGCCCCAATGTCTGCGTTGATTTAGAATGAATTAATACAAGCAAAGGGCTTAGCTCAGGGCTTGGCAATAAGTAGTGCTCACCACATAATGGCCATTTATTTTGACTGCTGCTATCACTGTGAAGGCGAAGGAGACCTGTGCTCCCCGGGGCCATGCTGATGATCTGAGTGGGGGTCTCTCCAGTGTCTTCTTTCTCCACACATTACTCCTGCTGTGCCTGCTCCTGTATCCCCAGCACTGAGCACATTGGAAGCCCACAGTGAATGTTCTAGGGGCACCTCTCAGTTTTCCCTGTCCTGGCTCTACTGACCACAACCACAGGGTCCCAAGGGACAACTGCTTTTGGCTCAAGCTCCTGAGAAGTAGGCAACAGACAGGCCAGGCCTCTGCCAGCATCGCCCTTGTCATTCCTCCAGGCCGGCCTGCAACACACTCGCAGTCACCCAATTCCCAAGGTACCTGGAGGAGCCAGTGTGTGAGCCAGGATGGCTTTACCCCATGGAATTAGGATTTTGTGCATAAAATATTAAATTTTACATTTAAAGTTATCTGTCACAGATGATTAATCAGTTGCACAGAGGCTACGTTAGCTTTCCTCTGTGAGGGCAATGAATTTTAGCAAAAGAAGGATATGTACAAGCTGCCCAGTAGCCAGGGAGACACCACCTAGGCTCTCCAGTGAGGCCTGGTGTTCTCTGAGAGGCCTCCCCCTGCTCTCTTTTCCTGGCTCTGAGAGGATGGTGGGATTCTCTACCACAACAGCTCACAAAGTGCTGCTTCTACATCAAGTTATCTGAGCTGTTTTCTCTTCCCCTTGGGGCTCCCCTCCCTTTCCTTTAGCTTTGCCAGTGTAGCTGCATACAGTTCAGCCTTACCATGAATACAAACATTTGTGAATAAGAGGCTTTTGTATACTTTTCCCATTTGCCACTTATCAGATACACAGAAACTGGACCAAAACTCAATCCCTGTTCTAGTGTACCGAATCCCACGGGAAGGGGAGCCTACCCAGGAGAGGCTTCAAGCACACACCGTGGTGTGGTATAAAGGGAGAGCACATCAAGTCAAATGGCATCCCCTGTCCCAAGCAGGAAAAGGCAATCCTAAGGAGGGGAGAAAGTGGCTTTGATTCAGGTGAAATGAATTTGATTCAGCACATATTTTTCTAATCAGGTTAACTCTTTGAGGGTGGGTACCTATCCAGTATTCTGAGGGCCTCAGGACAGTCACCAGCCCTGCAGTTCTGCAGCTGCTGGCTTTGACTCTGCTGTGCAAACTTGCCTGTCATGGAAGTCCCATGTTTTTGGTACAATGGCTATGTTGGTGATGGCTGCCATATAGCTCCAACATAGAGCAGAGTTTCTTCTGGTTCCTTTGAGTAGCCTGGCATTACCAGAAGGAGGCAGTAGGTTACAGAGACAGGCCCTTTCCTTTGTTGTGCCCCTGAGCTCAGGGACCTGCTTACCTTTTTCTCCTTGTCACCATATTCGATGCCCAAAGTGTCCATGGCCCGGACAATGGCTGCCAGAGACTGAATGGTGTTGCTGTACACCACAGGCTTGTACTGCTTCACGTCTTCTCCAGAGAAGCCATCTTCATGGATGATCCTGGGGGAAAACCATACATACCATACCTGGTGAGTGCACGACATGTCCTGTCCCCACTCAACACAGACAGCACTGAGCACTGAGAGTCCTGGGGCTACCCTTATAGTTTATTAGGGTGCGGGTGAGGTCCCATGGGGAGGAATTACTGGACTAATGCAGTAGTGCTGTATAATCTGAAAGACTAAAACCTACAAGAATTACTGAACAATAATCTGAAAAACAGAATATGGAGGAAAAACATCTTGTCATGCTCACTATGTACACTGAAAGAAAGGAGATCCTGATAAGTATTTCAAATATTTAAAAACAGAACAGGAGGAATAAACACTGAGTGCTCAATATTTGTTAGCTGTTGATATTTTAAGCAAACCTTAGGGTCTGTTTATTCCTGGGGCATATTGCTGAAGATCTTTGCAAGGAGTCTGCAAATGAATGATGCATTTTCTCTTCATAGAAAACTCAGTGCTTTTAATGAAGGCAGGATGAATAGCTTAAAATGAAAATCACCATCATCATCATCATCAGAAAAATCAACACAAGATGTTTTCCTACTCTTTAATCTTTGGCTGGGATTTAATCACTAAGTCACTCTTATTTTTCTAGACCTCAACAGTGACACAGAGCCCACCACAGTTCTTAGAGGGCATGTGATACTCACTGGTGGCCCCTCAACACATGTTCATTGCTGATAAGGATCCAAATAAGACAGGAAGCTAGAAAGGGGAAATCATGCCAAAGCTGTAAGAATTCTCTTATAACTGAAGTACTTGAGAAACAGCAAACAAAATCTAAGACAAACACCTAACATTAATTGCTCCTCAATAAACTATGTGAACTCTTTCTATGGCTACACTTTTCAGGCCAAGATGGACTGCTATGGGTAGCGTGCACACAGCAAGACAACAGCTGAGCCCTCCCTTGGACCTCACCAGCCCAACTCCATTCTTTTATTAGCTTCAGAGCAGGAGAACACTGCTAAAGGTCCTTTTGTTTTTTTAAACAAAGACATAAAACATCCTAGCTTTATTGAACTATAATTCACATATTACACTATACTACCTGCCCATACTAAGTATTACCATTCAACGCCATTCATATCCAGGGATCCCATTATCAACACCCAGAACCATGCTGAACTAATCAGTGAATTAACTTATTATGCGCTCTTAATCCCAGCATCATACGCTTAACCCCAGCATCACACTCTCTGGATCTAGCCACCTCTGAAAAGTCCCACCAGTAACCTCAGGAGGCCTGGAGGCAGGCAGACATCTAGGTACAAGCCATAACAAAGGGACCAGTAGGTGTTTACCAGACCACAGAGCAGGGAGGGAGCGGCCAAGCAGAACTCTGTGGCTCACTGAGCTGCAGAGCTTAAGAATCAGTTCCGAAGGTGGAGGCAGATGAAAGAAATTACAGAGCGAACTACAGGCATCTACTTGGGGTCGCTCTGAGTCTTGGGCTATGTAGCTGAGACTCTATAGCTGAGCACAGAAATAGCATTAAGGAAAGAGGGAGCTCCAGGGAGGTTACAGGTTGAACACTTTCTAGAGCTCCTTTGCACTGGGAGATAGGTAAGTTCCTGCGGGCCACAGCAGACAGTCCTTGTAGGATGTCTGGGGTGTTCAGCGGCCAACCCAGAGGGCTCTTGCCATAGTACCTGGCACATTAGCCCTAAGGCTCAGAGGCCTGCCCTGACAACGCTGAAAAATATGCCAGGAAAAAAAATTAAGTACTTTAACTGTCTGGTAGAATGAAGTCAGCGCTCTTTAAATGAATGTGACAAAACCTAGACAATTAATATGAAATGAAAATATCACTGTTCAATAAAAAGTTCTTGGATATGTAAAGAATCAGGAAAGCGAATCCTATATAGGAGAAAAATTAGTCAATAGAAAAAAAATAGATGTGACAGACATGATGAAATTAACAAATAAGGATGTCAAAATACCTATTTTAGTCAGGTGTGGTGGCACACACCCGCAATCCCAGCACTCAGGGGATGAGGCAGAAGGGTTACCAGTTCAAGGCCAGTCTAGGCTACACAGAAACTTCAAGGCCACCCTGGATCATGTAGTGACATCCTGTTTCAAAAAACTGCAACAAATGAAAACCATCCATTTTAAGTATTTTTTAAAAAATTAAAGGATACCATGAATCTAATTAGGAAATGTACTATGTAGAAAGAGATGATATGCAGTAGCTGAAATAAAAACTTCCCTGAATGTGATTAAAAGATTAGACACACAGAAGGTTGGTCAACATGAAGACATAATAACAAAACTATCCCACTAGAGGCAAGAAGAAGAAGAGGGTTGACAATGTATTAGATACATAATATGTGTAAAATTTACATAATAATAGTATACAGAATAAGAGGGAAGAATGCTATAGAAAGGCTCACCATGTGAAGTAAAAACACCCATTGTAAACACTAATCACTGAATCCTAAAGGAAAAACCGCTGCCAATCAGACTCTCTGGAGATGGCTGACCTGAGTTGTGTGTGTGTGTGTGTACGCGCGCGTGCACTTATGATCTACAGATCTCCATGATGTGCTTCCCCAGAAACCATGGAACAGATGCTATGGCATTGTTTTGGGACCTGCAAGCCCTGTTATCCTCTTGAATGTATTTTCTAGACTCCTGAGTTTTGTTTTGTTTTGTTTTTGGTACCAGGGGTCGAACTCACAACCTTGTGCTTGCCAGGCAGGCGCTTATGCTGCTAAGCTAAATCCCTGGCCCTAGGGACTATCATTTCACACCTATGATTAATCTTTATGCTCATATAATTAGGTAGGAAGGGGATTTTTAAAAAAATGAACCCTTTGGCAAAAGAAGAAACCAAGGCTGAGTGAAATTAGGAAATTGTCCAAATGTCTCTCAATGGGTTAGTGTCAGAATTGGGAATAGAACCCAGGTCTCCAAGTTCATAGTCCTATCTACCACACCTGAAGCCAACAGACGCCTGGCAGATGTCAGCCTGGTGCCTGATGTCAGCTGTGGTGGCTCCAAATGAAGAAACTTCAATTGAGGTTTGCAGAAATGATGCAATTTCGGTTAAAGTGTTCAAGACACACTTATTAATCTTATAACTTATTCAAACTTGTTTATATTAGTTTAAAATTGGGCTTATTATATGTTTCAGGCTAGAATTTTATAACCTCTTCCTCCCTTCCCCAAAATAAAAAGCACTCACTGAAGACTAGAAAACTTGGGCCATACAGAAAAGAAGAAACACTGCTCTTAATTCCACCAGTCAAAGAAAAACATTTAATATTTTGGTGTAAGACTTTCCATGCCATTTTGTAATGTCACATTCTTTTTTTTTCCTCCCAGTGATGATTGGAGGCACATACAAGTATCAAATAAAGACCCATTATTTTCTCTGTCTCCTATCATTCCTGAGAAGCCACATAGAGCAGTTGCCATGGCGTAAATGACCGAGAAGCCTGAAATAGTGCCAGCTCTGTCACTGAGGAGCTGTGTGTTCCCAGTAAACCACTTAATCTCTCATTTTTGGTTTCCTCATCTGCAAGGAGCTGTTGTAAGAAACAGAGCAAGTGTACAGCACATGGCAGCTACTAGGGCTGGTATTCTCACTTTCAAGCCAAAGTCCTCCAATATAATTTCTGTCATTTGTGGCATAAAAAAAGCAGAACAGTAACTGTGGCCAGTGTTTGAAGATTTACTTACTGTGTCAAATGCTTAACACATTACATTTCATCTAATTGCCAAGACAATGCTGGGAGATAATAATCATCATTTTCTCTTCCCAGATGAGGAAACTGAGGCTTAAAGAGGTTGGCCTGCTCATGTGAGGGCACACCACAGAGAGGCAGAGCAGCATCTGAGGAGCTGCTTGTGACTGGAAGGTAGATGCTGAGGCAGGGCTGCTGCTTCCACCCCGGGCCCTACACCAGGTTCCAGAGGCTCCCAGGGCTGCATACATAGCACAAGCCTCAGTACCCCCCTTGCAATGTCTGCCAAGTTTGGGGGTAGGGAGGTTGGGCAAGGAAAGGAACCTCTGGGTTGAGGTTGGAGAGTACCCCAGAGGGGTTCAGTTTCATTTCTGAGTCCCAGAGGCAGGATGAAAATGATCTGCCAGGCAGCAATGGGCTTTTCTAAGGTTCCATGAGGTGCCTCAGTAACAGTGGTATCTCACACTGCAGCAGCCCCAGATAGAAGTGCCTAGTGGAAGAGTACAGAGCCAAGTATCATTGGAGCCCCCAGATCCAACCACACCTGAAGCCAACCTTATTTACACTTTGGAGTGATATGAGATAAATTAACTCCCTCTTATTTTTGCATAAGTTAATGTGACTTGTGTGTCTGTCACTCATAATCAACAGTCATGCTTAAATCATTTTATAATTTGATAATAATCAGAGATCATCTCACAATGGACTATTTTTTTTTATTTTACCACCAACCTGTCAGCCCAGTCACATTTCACCTACCTCTGCTCTTTCTCTCCCTATTACCTGGTGTAACAGTGGGCTCTGGAGAACCCTTGGTGAAAGTGGGACTTAGCTACCTAAGGAGGAGCTGCAAGACCTGCTCCTCCAAGGAGCTCACTAAAGGAGGCAGACGTATATCTCTATGTAGGATGAGTGGGAATCTCCCGAATTTCTTACACTTGAAGAGCTAGGGCATCAAAGGGGAGGCCAAGCTAGTTCTACCTTAGGACCACCCAGAATCAGGGACTCTGAGAGGTATTCCAGGCCATGCAACCAGAAGAACCAGGGGAAGGGAGGAGGAGGTCTGACCAGGTGAGGGCTGACTCTGCAGGCCAGAATATTTGACCCTGGACAGAAGCTGCCAACTTCACTCTGGAAACCTGGCAATGCTGCTAGGTGAGGTCTCAAGTGGAAAGAGGAAAGGGAGGGTGTAGGCTTGGCCTGAGCTGGTTCCAACTCTTTGCGAGAAGACAGTTGAAGAGGAACCCAAGCCTCCCCCATTATATCCTTCTCAGCTGCTTGGGGACCCTGAAGAAGCCCAGACTTGGACTCCCTTTGCTCTCTACTTTCCCCTCACAGTGCAGAACCGCACTGAGCTGCAGGAAGCCTGTCTGGGCACAGTGGCCTTATATGGTCACAGAACCACAGGCTTGAGCTGGAAGGGACTTTGGATGATCATCTGGCTTGGCAGACGTTCGCTTTCTCTGAATAACAGACCCTCTGAGACTGTGTCAACTACACCAACACATACCTTCCCCCTTAATTTCGGGAGGTTCATGAATACACAGGCCTTCAGTGGCTAAGGTACATGATTTTCCACTCCATCTCCAGCTGAGTTAAATGTCCCTGCCATTAGCAACAGGACAGTCTCTCCATCCTTGAGCAGAGTCCTACTAGTGACCCACACTGGGTGTGTGTATGGGGAATTCTGGAGCCAGACATCAACTGTGTGATAGGGTCGTTTCCCCAGCTGCTTGGTGGTTCAGTTTCTTCAAAGACTTCTGGCAAATGGGAATAGCAAGAGTGGCTGTCCTCACTGGGTCCCAGCTAGGATAAAAAAGATGAAGGGTAGTGCCCAGCACGGCTGGCACTCAAGCAGTGTGCTGTAGGTATTAATGGTACATTCGGTAGTTGGGGTGGTGGAAAAAAGTACAGTCCTGTGTTTGTGCTCTGGAAGAAGAGAACGTGAAGTAAAAGGCAGGGAGCTGGGAACCCCTGGGAGAACTCTTCCCTCCAAGAAGATGAGCAGAAAGGGCTGATGCACTCGAGCACAGGGAGGTGGGTGGCAGAGGGGCATTCTCTGGACTAGAGGAGGTCACTCTGCTCATTTACCAAATGAACATCTTGGGAGCCACTGCAGGTAGAGTAGCTGAATTTCCCTATTTGGGGCTGTTGTAAAGTATGTCTCTGAACAGAGGTGGAAATGCACACAAAGGCAGGTGGAGTTAGGGTCAGGGTTTTGTGTTTTGGTGCTGTAACCACCAATAATGGATTCCAGTCATCAGGAAGACTGGATCAGCAGTGGGGATGTAGTCCTGGAGCTAAGTCCCCTCCAGAGAAAGTGAGCACTGATCAGTCTGGTCCCACAGAACATGTTTAACCAAGGAGTAAACAGTAAGATGCCAGTACATTAGTGAATGAGGCACATGCTACAATTAGGGGGTACCACAGAACCTATCAGAAACACTGGAATGAGATGAAATGTAAAATAAAAACAGCTGTTACTGCATAATATATATCCTGTGTAGCCACATTTATAAAATTGTGGGCGTGTGTGTGTGCGTGTGCGTGTGCGTGTGTGTGTGTGTGTGTGAGAGAGAGAGAGAGAGAGAGAGAGAGAGAGAGAGAGAGAGAGAGAGAGAGAGAGATTGTGGTGGGAGATAAGACTGTGTGGAATAAAAAGGAGAAAGAGAGGAAGATTTGGGAGAACAAATAACAGAACCCATCAATCATCACTTTTGAGTGGCAGAATTTAGTATTTTGTTCCTTTTTCATGATACAATCATTTCTAGTTTTCAAAATGTGTATTTGTTATTTGAAAAAAACCCCAAGAAATCATGTTCAACGGGAGACAGACGCTTCAGGTTTAACCTGTGGACTGCAGTGACCAGGAGAGAGGACTAGAATGTAAGGGTAAAGTCAGCAGTCTGGGCCTCAGCTGGGGCCCAGGCTGGCCTGCAAAGCTACGAGGCTGGCTTCCTGCCTTCCAGGGCTGTCAGGCTGCAGGATGAGATAAGGCTAGTACCGAGAACGTAGAGCACAGCAATGGAAGGTGGCATCTCCCAAGGGCCAACTGAAGATGCGTGGCTCCTGTGTGGCTCCTGTCCGTAGCGATTCCCTTTTCCAGGGTGAGCTCCCTTCTCTGCTCCCTTGTAGCCAACAGTAGCTATGTGATCTAGTTCAAGCCAGTAAGACTGAAAGGGAGATGGATCTGTATGCCTCTGGGAAAGTTTTCTTCTGGGAATTGCTTTCCTGCCCATCTTCCTTGTGGCTTCCCAAATGGCTGTTTTCGAACCAGCCATTCCCTGGCTTTCTGCCCTTATGTCTGGCTGCGTGAGGAAGAAAATGCTGGAGACTTTGCAATCGTCTTATCACTATGATGTCAACCGTCACCACTCTGTAGACGCCATATTCAGAGAGATCAAGGAAGTCCTGGTGACCTGCTGAGCTGCCAAATCTACCCTTTTGGGACTGTGTGGTAAGAAATCATGCTCTATAATGATGTCCCCAAACTTGGGCCAAAGAAATGGTTGTGTTTGGAGTTCACACAGACACTTTCCAGTGGGAAATGGTGACTTAGAATTGCCCATAAGGAAATATCAGTTTGTGGTACAGCAGAGAAAGTCCCCAGAGGTCTTTCCATTATGGTGTGTGTGTGTGTGTGTGTGTGTGTGTGTGTGTGTGTATATATATATAATAGCCCTTGACACTCTCCTGGGTAGAGAAGGTGATGGACAATACCAGGTAGGAAAAAGATTGAACCAACTTCAAAACGAAAAGATTTTTCCCTTTTTGTCTTAAAAGCTCCAGTTACCAATATTTCAGGGAATTCTTTGGGGCATATTTTGCAAGGAGCTTTACTGATTCGCTTCCTAATTCAGTTTTCATCTATTCTCTGGGTGCCTACTAGGTCCAGGCACTATTATCAAGTGCTGAAGATACAGGAATGAACTGAGAGACCCAGTTCCTGTCCTACAAGAAACTGAAATTTGGAGGAAACTCTTGTGGAGGAAACAGACATCAAGTAACTTCCCAAATGGTTATTTAACCTGTGATGGGGGTAAGGGAAAATTTAAACTATAATAAAAATAAAAGAAAAAGTTTGTATGCAGGACAGGGCAGCCTGTGGGGAGCAGGTGCTGCAGACTAGGCAAGATACACATGCAGGTGGCCTCTGGTGTCTTCCAGAGCCCAGGCTAGGTACCAACGAGATGTGTGCTACGTGCACAAAGGCACTGCTCTTGCTGGCAGACAGGATCCCAACTGGCAGGGCTGCTCTGGTACTGGGCCTCATATGAGTCTCAAGATTGCTCCTGAGGGAGGTTTCTGCAGCTTCTAAAGCAGAAACTGTAAGAAGCAAGCTAGTTCAATGGGGAAAATATCACAAACACCAGGCAGGGTGAGAGGTGATGGTAGGACACAACAGGAGCAGTGGGAGGTGGAGAGCCAAGAAGGGCAGAGATGGCTCCACCTGAGACCCCTCCTGAGACCCCCCAAGCAGTACAGCTCTTGCATTTCCTCTCATGTGGAGTAAGTTTTGGGGCTAGTGGTATGTGACCTGTGGTGGGACCTAATCCCTGACTCCTAGACCACCAAGAGTGATGGGTAACCTAGAAGTATACCGTGGTCCACAGGGTGTTGGAAGGATGAGGGGATGGGTGTGTGGTAGGAGATTCTGGGAACTGCAGCAGCCCAAATCCCCTACAGTACGCCATTCATTCATTCAGTTGTTCATTCATTGTACAAATATATATTGAGTATTGTTAAAGAACTAGATGCACTCTGGCTCTCCTATTCATTAACAGTGGGCACATGGGCAAGTTATCAAGCCTCCTGAGTCCAGATCTCTCTTTTGTAAAATGGGTACAATGACTGTTCTCTAAAGAGCTGCAGGCTGTACTAAATAATGAGTGGAGAGGGACCTGGGCACAGTCAGGTCTAATGAGTACCAGCTGCTAATGTTATTTAAAAGCCACAGATAAACTGGTATCAAAGCAGAGCTAGACCACTGGTTTTGTTTCCTAACTCATAGGTCCCCCACTACCCAGGGCAAAGTCCCTGGACCCAACTGAATGGAGCACTGAAGGGTAGAGGGAACCCATGTTCTGAAAGACTGGCTCAGAAACCACTGGATGGGCAGAGTTAAGATCTGTATGCTTGCAAAGCAGTCAGAACTCTGTATTCTGATTTCCCAGAATCCCAAGAGAGCAGAGGCCCTGAGATCTGGAGTTAGGAAGTCAGGTTTTGCTTTCTGTTATGGCTTCTATTTAGATGTCCCCCAAAGCCTCATGTGGTCATAGGTGGGATGCTAGTATTAATGATGTGACCCTAGGATTAAGGATGTTCTACCCTAAGTGTGAGCACTACCTGCCCAAAGGGTGGTAGCCTGGATAAAATATAAGGGACAGAAAGAGGGCTGATACCATCACTTGCTGTTTCACTGTTTGCTGCCTGTCTGCTGCTGCCTCTTGCCTGCTCCTCCACCAGGCCACCCGGCCTTGGAGCCAGCTGATTATGGACTGAAACCTCTATAAATGGTGAGCCAAAATAACCTTTCCTTCTTTAACTTTGGGCGTTGGGTATTTGGTCTCAGCAATGAGAAAAGTCATTAAGACATTTTCTCAGGCATAACTCCTGGCTCCCTGGCTGGCAGGGTCAGGGACACTCCAAAATTACTTCTTTCAATCTTCCACTGACCTCCCACCCCAATCAGACAGAACTGGCCTCCGTGTACCAAGTATCATCCATATGGCATCCAGAAGACTATGGTGAAGAGAAGAGACACAATCCCTGCTGCCAGGACTCAGAGTCTATGAGGAGTCAACAAAAATTAAGCAGCCAACCAAACAAATACTATAAGGCAGTAAATACACAACAGGAAATTGTTATGGGGGTGGGTAGTTAGGATCTAGGCAGTAGTATGTAAAATTGAAGGCTGAATGATGAGGGTTGGGCTTGAAGTTATACGAGGAAGAATGTTTCAGGCAGACAGAACAGCAAATGCAAAGGGCCTAGGGTACCTTGCAGGTTGAAGTAATGGCCAGAAGTCAGAGCTGCTAGAATGGACAGAGTGACAAAGACAGCAAGGGGTGGAGGAAGACAAGTTCAAAAAGGGCAACAGATGCCCAGTCATGTACAGTGAATTTGATAGTTACATTCTGTCTTAATGATACACTAAAACAAATGCCTACCTAGTAAAATAAGAAGTGTTCATCGATGTATCTCCCACACTGGCCTGACTCCCATCTGCCATGCTGTTCTCATCGTGAATTACTTTTAAATGGCAATTTCCCCTCCTCCCTCCCTGACTTCTCCAGGCCTGATGGAAAGGTCTGTTCTTGGAACACTTACAGATTCCAATGCACATGGCTAAGCAACAGAGAAGAAATAAACCAGGAGGGAACCGCCATCCATGTGTTAATATACAGTTCAGTCATGTGATCTTGGAGTCCACATGTATACTGTTTTTCCTGAAATGGAAACACACTGCAGACTTTTCTTCTTTATGCTGAACTTGACATTCATTTTAACAATTATATCTTTTGTTCCTTTTCCCCTTGTCTTTCTTCCTTTGTGTGTGTGTGTGTGTGTGTGTATTGGGTATTGAACAGAGGGACTTTGCACTGAGCTGTATTTCTAGCCCTTAAAACGTTTCTTTTTTTTTTAAATTTTGAGACTAGACTTTGCTAAGTTACTCAGGCAGGGCTTGAATTTGGGATCCTCCTGCCTCAGTTTTCCACACCAGCACACCTCACTAACAATTGATTCTTAGGTATCTTCTTCATGCCAGGTACTGAATATAGAGGACTGAACTTGACACACACAACTGTGCCTACCCTTGGGAGCCACTTTCAAGTGCAGAGTGGCAGGAACACAGAGCAGAGGCACTAAACTCAGTCCAGCCTGGCCAGAAAAGACTTGAGGAAGAAGCCATCCACCTGGATCCATGTCACCTGAGTCTTCACTGGCTGCTTCTGTCCCATCATCTGAATGGACCAGGAGTTGATTCAATCAAATCTTTACCAGTGACTTGGGCGGCTCCTGGATGGGACCACTTCCAGTTTTAGATATCGAGGCTGGAGGCTACCTGTCATAAGCCTATTTTAGAGAGGCAAAAGCAACAAAGTCTGGGTGAGCCAAGATGGACTGGTTGATCCCTGTATCTTAGTGTGATGCCTACGAGCACAAATGAGACCCTTGGCTAATTGAAGAGGGAAGAAAAAAAATCCAATTTAAAATTTAGTTGTTTAATTGTAGAGTGAAGCTGTATGGTACAAAAGATCATTTAAACAATAAATAAGAGCCCTTAGTAATACATGCTATATCTTAAACTTGTTATTCTTAGAAGACTATAGGATAGAAGGATATATTTTTAAAGAGTTCTGAAGTAAGAATAATAGGCGAATTCCCCAAGGAATGAGTAGCACAAAACAAAGGATGTGTCCTGTTGACAGTGACTTGCAGAATTCTATTATAAAGATGCCATTTTTAATAAAGGGTTGAGCTGGCCAGAAGCAAAGATGTCAGCTGCCAGTTGTCACCAAGGCTGGGACTTGTGATTCTAGCACAGAAGCTCTGTGGCCCTTATCTGGGGAATCACGGACCCTGCCCTTCCTTGGGTGCATGGTTTAGGATGGGGTGGGGTAAATGCAGGCTGAGAGGCGCTCAGACTGCTGCCTTCCGGAGTGCTACTCCTTGCCTTCTTTTTGATCTGGGTCTTGGGACCTTGGCCTTGGACTGTGCCTTGGACTTGGAGACAGAAGACCAGGATCTTGTGCCACTGGCTAGTAACTATAATCTGAGAAATGGGCAGATGAAGCAAGGAGTCTAGTCTTGACTCTGCCATGGACTTGCTGACCTAAGCTTCGACAAATCACCGGGCTCTGGATTCATTTCCTCTGTGCACTGCCCAGTCTCTCAGGCAGGTCAGATGTTTCTTTTGGATCTGACTGTGTCATCTTCCAGTGGTCAGCCTGTTTCTGGGGCTGATCGAGCTCCAGGGTCACATTTGTGTCTGTGTCTTTGCCAAAAGCAGGCTTTTGGGGGATTATAGCTCAGTAAACACGGAGATTCTTGGGAGCAAATCATCAAATGGTTCTTGGTAGACAAAAGCGAGAATCTCCGAAATACAGATTGTATACTTGAAATACTCAGGGCTTTGTTCAGAGGTCATTTCTCAGATCCCCATTTTCCATCTTTATCCTTCCTGACTTTATTTCATAACATGTACCCTACAATAACTATATAAGCATGACATATAACATATACACATGTACAATGTGTTTCCTTCCTATCAATGTGAGGACAGGGACCTGGTCTATTTTGCTTGCTGGCCGCTGTTCAGTAAACGTTAGCTGAATGCCAAGTGTAGCAGTTGTAGGACCCTTCAGCTCTAAGAGGCTGAGTTCGCTTATAACCCGATCCTTTCTTGAAGACAGGCAGTCTTTTCAGTTGTGAGTCCTGCTGAGCATGCATTTCTCCCCACCACTTTCCTCCTTGCACCCCTGCCTGCCGATCCAATTTCTGGCCTGGGTGGTGAATGACCTTCACCCTCAAGGTTCAGAGCCTGTGACTCTTTTCTCAGTGATGTTAAGTATCCTGGCAAACCCCTGCCCTGAGCCCTGGCACCTTGGTTCTCATAGCATTCTTGGGGTCAGGACATACAGCCCCCCATGGCATCCCATCTGAGCTCACTTATGAGAAAACCCAGAGCCCAACTATTAAATCCACTGGCTATGCTGCAAAGCCATGACAGAGAGCTTTATGGGTTGCGCCTTTTGTTACAATGCCTACGTAAAAACATGAGCTTTTGTTTAACATAGTAAAAGCCTGTAAATGGGGAGAATTGGTTCAATGTCAGTGTTACAGCCTAGATCTAAGTCAGATTTTTGGCTTCCCACCTACCTCATTAGGGCAAGTGCTAGACTGTCCTTTTGTCTTCTGCACACATAATGAAATGAAGTGTTTGTATTAGCACGTGATGCTCAATATATGAGCAATTCTGTATTTTGGGGGCACTTTGCTCATTCTCTTCAGTCTACAATAAGCTTGCTCATTATTTGTGTTCCCTGCTTATGAGCCCCTGGATATGCTCTCATGAACAACAGGCAAGAGAAAAGGGACTTCTGGATCCTGCTGTCTTTGGCAGGGAGCTCTCTAGATGGCTTTTGCCAACCAGTTACCTAAAACATCTTCCTCTCCAGCACATTCATCCGAAGACTGTCATCCATGTGACCCAGTGGACTCTGGCAGACTGTGGGAGGGCTCCTATTTGGGCTTCTCCTGGCTCCCTCACCACTCACTGTGGGGCACAGTGGTGACTCACTGCAGAATGTGCCGATGAGCAAGGATGAGCTTTGTAAATGGCAGGCGAGGGCTGTAGTGGACATCTGTTGCTCCTGCTTGCCCAGCTTCTGTCTCCTTTCCCTTGGAGATAGAATCTCAACTCCCCTTAGGGGTATCATCCTTCTTCCCACGCTGAGGACTCTTCCTACTCCTTCCTACCTCCGGAGTTGAGCAGTGATCCACATCTCATCAGTCAGTACAGCACACACCTGGCTCCAGTCAAGCCTGAAGCCAGGACATCCCTTGGCTTTAGTCACTCTAGAGTAGGTTTCTGTTCTTAGTAACTAGGAGTCTCATTCTCATGCTGGTAGTAAAGTCGCACATCCTTTGGAAATTTTCTTTGGAAGGATGGCAGCAGGGTCTTCATACAGATGTGCTGATCTGGAAATGGGGTCCACTTACTGCATGGCTTATGAGGACTCTGACATCGTAGGACAGCGCCTGCTCCAGTCGCACTGTACATCAGGCATGCAGGCTGAAAGTACTTTCTCTTTTAGGTATTTCAGGCCCTAGATGCTCCTCCCTGCTCTCCTGTCCCCAAAATATTAAGAAGCCCACTCCCCTGTTTCTTTTATAGATGACAGACCCAGGTAGCCTGGGAAATGCTCTTCATAGGCCGTTGGTTTTTTCCTTCTTGGTCTTTTAAAGTGAAGATTTGTTGTTCTCCGTACCATGTGACTGGGCAGGGAAGGACATGCAGATACCCTGGATCTGCAGAGACAACGGGGCAGAGAAACGAGTCGTCTGCTCTCTGATTCGGGTCACTTGGCAGATGGGCAAGGCAGAGCTGTAAGATGTCTATGTAGGTTCCTAAGCCTTGCCCCAGAGGATGGACAGTTTTAGGTGTTTGTTCCCCAACAAAAAGCTCCCTTCTCATCTTTCTGCTGAGAAAAGTTCAAGGCAAAAGGTACAGATCACCCTAGACAGGGGTTCCTTGGGGGAACTCATGAGTTCCCATGCTCTCTGGGAGAAATGCTTAAGGAAATGCCTGCCAAAGCAAGTCTGAATGTGTATTCCTCTTCAGGGAAACTCCTGTCTCCCCTAAACTAAATAACAGCGGTCAGATGCCACATCAGCTCTTGCTGGACAAAGAGGGCCATGTCTGTGCTTGACTGGACCCGAGTCTCTGTGCTTGTGTGGCATGTGGCATATTCTTCTGGTTCCTTCTGTATAAACCTTTTGTTGTGCCTTTGAAAGAGTCAGGGAGAATTCCAGGTGAGGGTTCTTGTAGACAGTCACAGAAAAATGCAACAAAAGCTAGGCCTGCCAGCTTTCCCTTCCTGGTAGGTGGATGTGGCCCAGAAAGGATGCCATTCTCTGTGTGGTGGATTTAAATAGCACCACCATGGCCTCCTGGGTTTTCCACTTGGGCCTTTCTCGAGCAGATGGAAGCTCCTCATTAATAACCATGATGGTGTGGTCATGCCCAAAACAGAGAGTCCACAAAAATCACTTTGTGGGCTCCCACATTGATTCTCCTCTCTAGGGAAGCTCAGGTGGGGCCTGTACTCTCTCTCTCAGGGCCAAAGTTGTATATTCTGGCTGTAGGTATAGCTGACCCTCAGGAGATCTCCCTGTATCTCCTGCCTGTTTTTGCCAAGGCTGGGGTCAGCATATCTGGGATTTGGAGCTCTGTTGAATAGTGTCGCTGTTGGTCTATGAAGTCAGCAGGAAGCAGGTGGTGTCCTGCCTCTCAGGGTTCCTGGCCTCTGCTGGGAGACAGGCTTGCCTCTCATCCAGGGGCCAGTGGCTAATGGACTGCGTATGGGAATCAGGACCAAAAGTTCCTGTTCAAGACAGTTTGAGGAGAACACCCTCTCCAGCTGCCAGCCTGAGGCTCTGTCTGCTCTCTCAGACTTGCCTCATTTGGGTTTTGGGCAGACATAAAAGAAAAAATGTATCCCATCTACTGTCCAGGCCCAATTTCTCCACACTCTGCTGCTCTGGAACAGCAAGCACCGGGCCCTAGAAAAGCACAGGGATGGACAGTACCGGTCTACCCCTTCAGGTGCAGGCTAAGGGCGTTGGGGGCACACATGCCCGTGATCCTGCACTAGTGCTCAGAGGCTGGGCCTCACCATTTAGAATCAGCTTCAGTAAAGCATTTCAAGTGCCAGCAGGCACTCAGTTCTGAACAGCAGAAACACAGAGCAGAAGTGCACGTGATCCCCCAGGCAATACAACCAGTAAATGTAGATGTACTCAAGAGTTCCCACTCCTAGCCACTCCAGACTGCAGACTACAGTTTCTAATGAACTCTGATGACCTTACGTGCACACAAAGGCAGGAGGGGAGACTGGTGAGGGACAAGACTTCTGACTGACTGGAGAAGAGGAAGAAGGGCATTTTAAAACTTTTACACTGAGAAAAGTTTCCAACAATCAGGAGATTTCTCATTAACCATAACCTCTTTCCTCTTTTCCAACCCTTTTCCGTTTTGTAGCATGGCCCTCCTGTGAACCACTGATTGCACAGTTTGCCTTACCCTGGCACAGTGCCAGCCACAGGTTGCCGGAGGAGTAAACAATGAATGATGGATGAAGACTGATCAGGGAGACCCCTGAACCTGCTGTATCGCCATCACATTCACCTTTGTATCTTATCACCGCAGGCAGCAATGCTGTGACAGCTGTCCAAAGCCATTGCCGGAGCTACTGAGTCTCAAGCTCCAAAACAAGCGTTCATCGGGATGGTGTGGGGCAAGGTGGTTAGGGACTGGGAGGGACACTGGGATGAGGGAAAACTTATTCCATTCTCTAGCATCAGATGAGGTACAGCTACAGTCTTCCAACAATGACATTCAATTCCATAAACATTTATCCCATTCCTCCCAAGTGCCAGGCATGGCATTTGCCTGAGAGGAGTAGATCGTGTTCTCCGAGGAGGAAGTGACATTCACACTGCATGCAAGATCATCAGATCCTGCGGAATTACTTTACGGGTGCAGCTCCAGTTCTGATGGGTCTTCCTGAAGAGGTGCTGCCTGCTCTTAAATCTCAAACCAAGCTGTTCTGGTACGGGCTCCTGCTTGACCCAGCTCCAGCTCAAATTTGCTGACTCCCATTGCTCATAAAACGTCCCTGGGGCTCTTCAGCTGCTCCTTCAAGAATGAGGGCCCAGATATTCTGCTTCCCAGTGCGGAAGGAAAGCCAGTCACTTCCGACTGATACCAAGCTCTGGGGCTCAGGTAGGAAAGCATTCGAGCACTTTCCACAAAGAATGGGGGGCTGTGTATGGGGTGGCCTTAACTATGTGATGCTCCCAGGGGCAAATAAGAAACACCAACAGGACTGTTGGGCCATAACTCCATGGAGCGCTCCACCTAATTTCACGCTGAAATCCCTGCTCTCTTCTAGCCCTCTAGTCAATCCCTGCCCCAACATCTCATCTGTTTCCCTCAGTGGAGGTAAAGGAAATCCTCCCTGTCTCCTGGCCACCCCTCAGTGCTAGTGGCTCACAGGCTGTCATCAGTCTCTCAGGGCCACTGTGAGGACAGCAGCTAGGCTCACCTCTGACACCAGCCCACAGGGATGCTGCAGGGACTCCACACCCTCTCTTCCTGACCAGCAAGTCCCAGGACTTCAGGAATACCACCACCACTCTCACGGCAGGGACAAAAGAAATGTGAGAAAACAGAGACCATTCATTAAGCCTGCTGTTTCCTTCACCTGGGAAATACTCTGATCTGGCTGAGGGGCCACAGCAACTGTTAGTGGCAAACACCTAACCCTCTCTTTCAGGTTTTCCAAGCATTTCCTTGTTACTGAACAATAATAACAATTTCTATTGATTAAATGCCAACTTTGTGCTAAGCATTTATGTATCTTTATTGATTCAGTCCTTATAAAAATGTCATAGGTAACATAGCTATCTCCGTTTTACAGATGAGGAAACTGAGGCTTAGGGAGCTAAACCCAGTACTTGACCCGTATCTCAGAGGGGCAAGAAGCAGATTTGGGAACAGAGGCAGAGCCTTTTTGTAGCCTCTCCCCCAGCAAATCCAAGGGAACTCTGTGCTACAGTAAAGGGGAACGTATAAGTAGCCCACTATCACGGAGCAGAAGAAAGTGGCCATCTGTAGCTGGATATGGGACAAAGGAGGTATGTTTTGTTTGGCTTGCAGTGGTTTTGAATTTGTTTCTTCCTTCCTTCCTTCTTTCTTAAAAAGGAAACATTGATAAATCAGAAGATTTTTTATAAAACATACTGATTTTTGGCTTCTACTAAAAGACTGAACATATGGACCTGCCTTCCTGGATGAAACCTTTTCCTTCAAGTGGTGAACTCATGGGTACTTTTTTTTGTCAGCATAATAAATACAATAGCTAGGAATTTGATAGGACCAATATCTGGAACATTTAGTATGGAACACATTCAAACTTGTGAAACAGGTCCAGCTTGCTTGCCTCTCTTCATGTGGCCTCACTGGAGGATATCATACATCCTAAAGATCTATCAAGACACATGGTCAACACGCAGGTCCTCAGGTGGAACTCTGGCTGCTATCCATGTGTGTACTAAGTGCTACTTGATCAGACACATGGAGCAACAATGATAGTCACCTGGCCTGAGCTGTTGCGAAGGGGCCAGAAGCAATGGGAAAGTGAACCTCTTGAGCCGGCCAGTGCAGAGGCACTTGGCCACCAAGTGGGACTGGTGCCTTCTGCACCAGCTGGCAATGACGAAGGAGTCCAATCTCCAGATAGTGGAGCATCTCAGGCCTCAAACCCTAGATTGCTAACTCAACGTGTCTACTCAGACGTGCTCTAGGTACTGCAGAATAAATCACTGGACTCCTGATTTTCCCTCTCAACCTATTCAGCCATACCTAACATTATTGCATACCAAAGACTCTGAGCAAGACACATTCTTTCCTGTTAAAAGTGAGTTTAGTAAGTGTTATAAAAGGTGTCAAAGACACTGATAGTAACACTAAACTTAAGACTTTGTATTTGTCATAATCAGAACTGAAAAAGAATTTAAAAACCAACTTTTTCACCCCATGGACTTCAATGTGTCCTCATACCACCAGAAATAATTATGGGTGTCAGCAGTGCCCGGCCCAAGATTTGAGGAGCCCTGAGCGTATGATTCTGGAATCTAGTTCAGCATCTAACCTGATTCAAGTAGAGCAGCAAGGCCTGGGAGAGATGATTCCCTGTACCAGCCACAGGGAGAGCCTGTCCAGACAGTGACAGCAACACTAAGGCCTCTAGTCTTTAAGTGAGCCATTAACAGCTTACTAGTAAGTGAGCTTACTAACAGTAAGATGACAGGGATTTTGGGAACATGGAAACCTGAAAGAGTCAATTGCCTCTATTCTATATACTCAAGCTCAGAGAACTTCTGAGGCCTCATGGTGGAAGAGCACGCAAGTGGGAAATAAGGCTGAAAACCTGTGCGGAAATGTTCCTCTTTTATTTGGAGACCGGCTTTAGATACTTTTGGAACAAGGATCAAAAGTCATAGACGGGGCTGGGGGTAAGGATCAGCAGTGGAATACTTCCTTAGCATGTGTGAGGTCCTGGATTCCAATGCCCAGCACCTCAAAAAAAAAAAAAAAAAAAAAACCCTGAAAGATAAATAAGATCCAAAATGTACAATAGATATTGTGAAAATGAAAGGGAAAGAAAGTGCTTGAAAGAAAAGAACTGAGATAGGGGAACGGAGAAAAGAAAGAAGGGAAAAGATTACATATATTCATTGTAATATATGTACTATATATGTACATTGATCATTTTTCATGCATAAATCTTGTATTCTGAACAACTACTTTGAAAATAACAATGTATTAGGGGCCAGGGATGTGGCTCACCAGCATAGTGCCTGCCTGGCAAGCACAAAGTCATGAGTTTGACTCCTGCCACCAAAACAAACAAACAAACACCCACACAACAATATGCAATATATTAACTAATGTCAATTTCCGATTATTTTGTTTTGAAATCCTGTATCATTTTTATTCGTTTTTTCTGTTGTCATTCTGCTTTTAAAATTAAAAAAAAAAGGAAAAAAAGTCATAGAAACTAAGACAAGCTTGACCAAGAGGCTGGTGGACTCCAAGTGTGTGTGTGTGTGTGTGTGTGTGTGTGTGTGTGTGTGTGTGTGTGGCAGGGAGGGTGGGACACTGGGATGAAGGGAAGCAAGAAACAGCTGGCTTTGCTTGCCTGGCTTACTTCTCCCTGGAAACCAGGAGGCCAAGTAATCACTGAACAAAGGGGGCTGCAAATCCCTGCTCCTGGGGTTTCAGGAGAACCAGGAGATGTAGAAAGGATTCCTCAGGATGTCTGAGGAGCAACCTGGTGGCTCACCTATTTCAACATCATTGGCCCAGAAAGGGGAGGACAGCTCCATCTCCAACAGCTGTACCGTACTGCCAGTCTAGACTCAATAACCTACCACAGGTACCAGCAAAGAACGAAGGACACTTACAACACCCTCCAAGCCCTAGCAGAAGACGACCTAGCAGAACAAACAACGCACATGCCCAGCAAAGTACAACTGCTCCAGGATATAAATGACAACTTAAACAGAAAATTGCAGGAACCTAAAGAGCAATTCAGAACAGACATAAAAGATCTACATATTAAAACAATGTCTTGCAACTATAGGGGAGAAGTCCCTGCTGAGATGGGAATGAGCAGCCTGGCAGACCAAACGAAAAACCATCTCCAAGTGGAGAGCAAACTACAAAGAGAGAATTTATAAGGAAAAAGATAAAAGACCCAGAGAATAGAAACAGAGAGATCTAACCAAGCATACTGGGAGTTCTAGAAGAAGAAAAGGGAACTGATGTAGGACAACTAATAATTAAATGATAAATAGAAGATACTTCCCTGAGCTGAAAAAACAAAGACCCGAGTCTACAAATTTAAAAGATTTACAAAGTTCTGGGAAGAAGGACAAAAAAAGATGTATACATAGGTCATCCTGGTGCAACTTCTCAACTTGACTATGAACACAAACCTTAAAAACTTCCTGGTAAAGAGAACGTATTCCCTGCAAAGGTCTTCTATCTAGAACATATAAAGAATTGAAAAAAATCAGGCCTCCCAAATCCAAAGACCTTATCCAAAAATGGACATCTGAGATGAATGTGCACTTCTCAGATGAAGAAATACATATGGCAAATAAATATATGAGAAAATGTTCAGCATCACTGTTCATTTGAGAAATGCAAATTAAAACAACACTGAGATTCCATCTCACCCTAGAAAGAGTGGCTATTATAAAAAATCATCAAATAGCAAATACTGGTGGTTCTGTGGGGGAAAAGGAACCCTTTTCCACTGTTGGTGGGAGTGTAGAATGGTACAACCACTGTGGAAATCAGTGTGGAGATACCCCCCAAAATAGGATTGGAGGTCCTATTCAATCCAGCTATCCTCTTCTGGGTATTTTCCCAGAAGAATTGAAAAAAATCATACTACAGTGATATACATGCACTCATGTTTATAGCCTCACAATTTATATAGCTAAATCTTGGATACAACCCAAATGCCCATCAATCGCAGAATGGATAAAAAAGATGTGGTACTTTTATACAACAGAGAACTACTCGGCTATAAAGAAGGATAAACTTGAGGCTTTTATAGGTAAATGGATGGAACTTGAAGCCATACTTATACGTGAAATAAATCAGACTTGCATGTTTAAATATTGTATTATTTCTCTAGTGTAAAAAAAGGAGTAAATTGGATTCAAAATGTACAATAGATACTGTGAAAGTGTAAGGGGACAAAACTGCTCAACAGGAAAGAACAATTAACTGGGATGAGGAAAAGGAGAAAAGAAAGAAGGGAAAAGATTATATAAATAAATAAATAAATAAATAAATAAATACACAAAACAGGTAACTGTACACCTACTCTCTGTTAGTTCATCAAAAAGAATCGTTTATGCTTCACTGTTGGATTATTCTTTCATGCCTATATTTTATAATCTGAGCAACTACTTTGAAGATAATAATATGCAATATATTAACCATTGTTAATTTCTTATTATGTTACTTTGAAATTCTGTATCGTTGTTTTTGTGGGGTTTTTTCTGTTTTAAAATTAAAAAAAAGAACATATCACCTAGAGGAGGTGGTGATCAGACTGGCACTGAACTTCTTCAAAACACTATAAGCTAAACGAGAGTGGAATATCATTTACAGACTGCTCAGAAAAGAGAATCAAAGCCCCTTAGACAGTCTGTCTGTCACTTTTTTGGGGTAAAGGATCTTTGCAGACATATAAAACTTCTGAGTTTATCACCCACATATCCTATCAATGGCTAATAATTTGAAGTAACAACCAGTGAATGCATTGGAATAGAGACCTGAACATAAGGGAAATGAACAGGTCAGGAAAGCAAAATGAGTAACGAAGCTTGCTCCCTCACCTGTGTCCTCCCTTCTCCTAAATCTGCCTGGGCACGATGATGCTCCAGGAAGGACACAGCTAAATGAGGACTCTGAAAATAGAATGAGTGCACTAAAGGGAAATTCCAGCAACAGCCCAGAGCCAAAAACATTCTGTGACCCTAACAAAATCAAAAGAATTGAAGATGAAGGAAATCAAAGTATTTTAAGGTCTCATTTTAAGTCTGGGACAAGGAAATAATTCTAGACATCTCATCCCTTTAAAGCATGGAAAGTCAGGGAGAAAATGGAGCTTGTTGGAGAGGAAAATAATTATCTTGTTTTCAAATGAGTGAAATGTATTTGATTATGAGTTAAAGGGAAAAGAATATAACCTTTAATGAGATGGAGAAGTAGAGAACTTTGAAATTAATATCAGAAAAAAAATGAAATGCAAGACAACGATTTCAAATCAGCACAAAGAGGGAAAAAGAAATAATGATGAAAGGAAATTATAAACATGCTATAAGATGGAGGGAATAAAATTAAGTACACGATGTTCATAAGAAAAATAATTAAAAATAAAGGTATAGAGAAATGTTAAAAACAAATGACTAGGTAAAAAGACACCAGGCACATGCAAACAGAAGGAAAGTAGAGGCATCAAAATTAATTTGAGAAGGGGAAATGAACACTGCACAGGATCAAGATATTTGTGATGATAACAAAAACATTTTATGAAGCTACAACCATTAGAAACCCAGATAAACACAGAGGTTAAATATATAAAGCATGTTTCACTAAAAGAGGAATAAATAAAATTTTGGTATAAAATTTTACATAGCTTAAGATGAGAGAAAATGAATAATATAATAATTTGTTGTATTAGATATATGTAGGGCCTCATATTATTTGAATACAGAAGGGACACTTTTTAGGAATTTACAAAAATTGAGCATGTACTGGGTCAATTTGCTAAACCTTAACAAACTTTTCAAAGAAAGAAGTTTTGAAGATTGCAATCTTTGATCACAGTCAGTAAACTTGAAAATTAAATACAGATAGAAGGTTGGGCTATAGATCAGCAATAGGACCCTTGCCCAGCATGTAATACCCTCACCTCAAAAAAAGTGAGAAGAAAAATATTTATTTAGAAATGAAGAAACCCACTTCTAGGTAAATGAAGATTAAAGAAGAAATCAGAAAACAAATTCCCACCATCTAAAAAGCAGTTAGAGAAAACAGTGCATACCAGTTTCCATGAAATAAAGAAAAATTTATACTCAGAGGAAATTCAAAGATGAAATGAAGAAATATGAAAAGTAAAAAAGAAATTATGCAAACAAATCAAAAGTGCCTACAATTTTAAATTAATAAAGTTAGAAGCCAAAACTGATGAGATTAAAAATAGTAAATAGAAATAGGAAACTAGTAAAAAGTATACAAAAATGCAAAACCTAAAAGTAAATAAACAAAAATAACCCTTAATAAGGCCATTTAAGAGAAAAAGAAGAGAAACAAGAAAGAAGATCTAATCATAGCTGCAGAAGAGATACACAGTATTCCTATGATCACAAATCTTAAAATCTCATGAATTCATAAATCACCAAACCTGACTCAACACAAGGAACACTTGAATAGGCAAGCTGTCAAGAAAACACTGCATGGATGATCAAAGAGCTACCAATGAAAATGGCGCTAGGAGAAGACTGATTGAATTTTATTTAACCTTTAAGTAACAGATAATTCCAAGATTCTTTACATGATTCTCTGTCATACTAAAAGATGGAGAGCAAGCTTCCCAATCAGTGCAATGTAGCCACCATAATCTTAATTACCCAAACCTCAAGAAGACAGCATACAAGCTTACAACTCTCATTTACTAAAAGTATTGCAGAGGCTGGAGATTTAGCTCAGTGGTATAAGCGCCTGCCTGGCAGTTCTCTGTATCAGCTTTGCTGCTTTGCTTTGATTGGCTTTGTTCTGTTTTGTTTTGTTGGATTTTACTATCTTTAAAATAAAATAAAATTATTGCAAAGGGTGCTTTTAAAAATTATTGAACTGAATCTAGCAAGCATCAAAAGAATCCAACACGTTACCACTGCATCTGTTTAAGAACTGTGATGTAGTGCAACAGCATTATCCGTGATGAACACAAGGGAAGCGGGCAAAGCCACAGGTTCATGCCCACAGAGGTGAAAAGGCACTTGGCCAACTTCAGATCATTTCTGGGGCCAGGGCATAATGTGGATAAAGGGAGACCGGATTTGATGAGCACATGCATACACGGAAATATCACACTGCACCCCACTAATATGTATAATCAATACATGCTAAACAAATGCTGTTTAAAAATTTGAATAATTTCTAATTAAAAACTAGGAATAGAAACTACTTATACAACATTTAAAAATCTATTTACCAAAGCTCAACAGGAAGTAAGCTGTAAACAGTGACATTCTGCAACCATTTCAATTAAAATTTAGGACTAGATAAAGATGGCAGTAGTCACTATCATTATCTATCATAACTTACTAAAACTAATGTAGTAAAGCCAGAAAATCACATCAATGTGGTAAAATGAGAGATAAAAACCACCTTTTTGATGATACTGGATATCCAGAAGACCTAAAACACTACTGTTTTTAAAATATCTATTACAATTAATAAAAAAACTGATAAAAGGCTAGATCCAAATATTCAGATGTG